TGTGATAGGACTCCTGATGCTTACATGTAATCATACTCTCCGCAATGCGAGACCTTGTCTAGGATGTCAAAAAATTAAAAGAAAAATTGTCCTGTAGTATAAGAGAAGCCCGATTGAATTTTAAATTCAATGATTAAAAATATAAATAATTTTATTATTAAATTATATAATTGATGATATTTATAAGAGTTAAAGTCAATTATAGTCCCTCTACTTTTAATTTTCATTTATTTTCCTCTGTATACTTACAAATTGTTCAAAGTTCTCCCTCTACTCTTCCAAACCATACCATAGTTCTCCCTCTACTTTAACTGTTTATTACATTTACCTCCCTCTCCTAACACCATACTAACACCGCTTGTAAATTCATCTCACGGAGACATCTTGCACTGTTAAGTTTGATAGTTTATTATTATTTTTTGAATTATGTTTTTGGGTATAAAAATCCAGTATGGCTTATGTACTTAAAAGTGTTAGGCAATATTTGTTACTGATTTGTTGTATTATACTATAGTTATAAGTTTTGCCTTTTATTATTCTAGAAATATATAAAATATTAATTAAAATTAATTAAGAATGTTATAGTTGTAATGTCATATAAAATTATAAGTTTATAATTATTATGTAACATTAAATGAGTGTGACATGCCATTAAATGAATTAATACATATAATACTATGAGTATAACTTAAGTGAAAAAAAAATCAATTATATAATTATATATCATGTTGTTACAATGCCACATAATGTTACAACTAGATTTTTTTTAAAATTAATAAAAGTATATAAAAATTAATTAAATTTGATTAATAATAATCAAATTGCATTTTAGATAAGGTATTGTATAAAAAAAGATCTATAAAAAGTATAGTTGAATAAAACCTTAATATCATACAAAATTATTACATTTTCAACCATATTTAGACTTGGTTTGGCAATGTTGCAACGTATTTATATATTTTTCTATCTTTTACTACCCTAAAAAATCTAAAATATTAATAAAATTAGTAAAATAGATTTTTCTAGCCTATGCCCTTCTATGTTTTAAGGGCACATGTTAAGAGTCTTAAAAAATATATATTAATATTTAATTTATCAATTATTTAATTAAATTTATCAACATGACAATGACTTTGAAATTAATGTCAACTTTTATATTTTTATATACAAATTTATGGTAAAAATTTACCCTTAACCTCTATCCTTATGGCATAAGTTAGAAAACTCTTAGTAAAAATATAAAAAAAATTAATTAAAATTAATAAATTCACATTTTAAACAAAATACTATGTGAAAAAAAAATGTAAAAAGCACAGTCAAATAAAACCTTAATTTAGTTGTTAATAATAACTAATACATGATATTCTATATATAATAATTAACAATTTTTATTATTATTTATAATTTAAATGCCTTTATTCATCTAATTAAAGACAATAGGTATTAATTATTTCTTAATAACTATCCATCAAAAAAATATTAATAAACTAAAAAGTTAAAAAGAACCAATAATCTAAGTATTTTAATAGTAATTTTCTTTTAACAAAAGATATTTTGAGTTCAAGTTCTATTATGTGTGAATGGGGTAAATTAAGATATGAGAGAGAGAGTTATTTTCTGTTATATAGTTCAAGATAAAAAATCAAAAGGAATAATTTAATGTGAAATTAACACTAATCAAATGTGATAATAAAATTATCCTAATGGTAATTAAGAAAGGAGACAAATAAAAATAGAAAATCTGAGACTTACTTTGTGCATTGAAAATCTAAAAATGCTGAAATTAATTACTAGTTAGTGTATGCTGTTAAATTGATAGATTTTAAGTTTTTTTCCCTTATTTTGTGGGACTCACAAACACAGTTCACTAAAAAAAATAAACTATTGCACTTAACTGTCAAAGATGCCTCTGTTAAATGGGAGTCATAAACAGTGTTATGGGAGGGAGGTAAATGTAATGGAAAGTTAAAGTAGAGGGAGTACTATAGTATGGTTTGGAAAAGTAGAGGGAGGACTTTAAACGATTTGTAAGTATAAGGAGGACAATGAACAAAAATTTAAAGTAGAGGGACTATAGTTGGCTTTAACCCTACTTATAATTAATAATTAAGTTAATTATCTTTTGAATGTAAAAAAATGAATGATCCAAGTATTTTATCAAACATGCAAATAAAATAAATTAAAAAGTAATAAAAGATTACAAATTAGAAGAAAAAAATCAATATAAAGAAGAGAATGAATACTTTCAATCTAGTCAAGTTGAAAAACATGCAAATTAATTCAATTGAAAACGAAATTTTTTTAGTCTTTTTTTCAAGTATATTTTATGATTTTTTTTGTACATATAATTTTGAATTATATAAGAGAGGATAACCCTTCATATTCTCAAATTTCTCCCCATTTAATTCAAAGCTTAAACTTGACATTTTTAACTTAAAACTTCAAATTCTTAATCGTTGAATTATTTTATTTGAGGTTTGGTATATTTTATCATAAACCATATAAAAATATAGTTATTTCTTACTTCTCAAAAAAAATTTCACCCTATTTAAAATTTGGTAATTTGATTTTAAAATTTTCAAATTGAAGTCTCATCCTCCTAATTAATTAAGTCAACCCTTAAGGACTTCAATCTTAAATTCATGTCATTTCATTCAAATAATTTTGAACTACCAAGGTTCAAACTTGGATATTCAACTTTTCAAACATGGTTTATAATTAGGAAAAAATATTTTGCTTTTTGTCTTCCTAAATTTTTTTAAAAAAATTTATTTAAAAACTTGTTTTTTAATTAATATTTTTAAAAACTAAATATTAAATTAAAAGTTTTATTCATATAAATCATAAATATTAATTTTCAAATTGTTTTAATAAGCCAAACTACTTCATTAAATTTAAATTTGTTAAATATATGTCTATAAATAAAGTTTTATTATCAATAAATTATAAGTATTAGATTAATATGAAAATTAACATACATGATCTATATAAAATACAATTTTTAATCGAACAATCAACTTTTAAAAATGTTAATTAAAATATAAATTTTTAGACATGTCCTCCAAAAAAGGTTTTGAGAGGACAGCCTATCCTATATTATCTTCGTATCACTAACATGGAGTTCTCTCACTTTTAACTACTACTCTATATCTATTCATAAATATAAAAAATAAAAAATAAAATAAAAAATAGAAACTTCGTTCTTGAATTCTAAGAGCAAGCACAACTATCTGGGGTGGGGGGTACATCAGTGATGGGTTCTTTGTCCACAGAATTGGATACAGTAAGGCTAGCGGATTGAAATTAGTCAAGTCAATTGTTGGTATCTACAACTCTGTTACATTGCCAAACAAGAGCGCTGGTTATTGAGCTAAGGGAAGAGTAACAGAGTGACTGTTAAGCATGAGAACAATAGCAACCATTGCAGCTCGCTCAGCCGGATCTTCTTAACATATAATAAGGCAATGTTGATGCATTTGACCACTTGATTTCTTGAATAAGAATCTCTCAAAGTTGGATCCAACAATTCAAAGGACTCCATATTTGTACAAAACATCTTACATATTCAAACCCACATGGCTTATAAGGTTCTCACTATAATTTGATTGAGATAAATTGTTGCTCCTCTTGTCACTTATGACCTCTAGAATTAAGATACTAAAACTATATAAATTTAATTTCCCAAAGAATTGTTCAAAAGGGTGGAATGAGATATTAACTATGATAGGGCCTATTACTACTGTTATATAGATGTGGATAATTAAATTATTACACTTGTTTGTATTTTGCTATAATTATAGATAACAAATTGCAAGGCAAAAACTCCTAACAATGAATCCGTTAATTAATGATTGAGCCTTCTTTATTTCTAACTAAATTTTAAGCCTATATGCTAATCGTATGTTAATTGTGCATTACCCATGCATTATATATAGTTTTAATCTCTATTTGATTTAGAGGTTGTATTAAGTATTAAACTCCAAAATAATGTAGTTTTAGGCTCTATTTAATGTAATCATTCAATTTTGTTAGATTTATACCCATGCCCTAAATAGTTTTGCCTCGGATTGTCTTCATTGCGTATTCAGAAGCATTGTAACCACTGCACAATAGGTCTACATGTTCGCATAATGACAACTAAGAATCCCATAACAGTTTATGTATGAGTTAATCATATGCTTACAATGTAGAACTCTTATGCTTGTATTTTCTTGAGTTTAATCGACTCCAAATATTTTTGCCATGCCAAAATCTGGGGCTTTTGGGTTCATGTTCCCATTAAGCAATATGTTGTTGGCTTTAAGATCACAATGTATGACTCTAATTCCTTGAGCAATCCTTTCTATTATATGGTAACATGTGCACCAATCCAATTGTCTTCTCTTTTCATAATCGATAGACAAAAAAACACTAGTCAAGGACTCAGGATAATAATCTTCATCTAAATCTCCTAAATCAAAAATTTTTGAAAATTGACTATCAGAGTTTTTAGATAACATACCAAAAATAACTTTTGTTTGCAACAAATTTGTGCATGAGTATCTTCTCAGTTCTCTCAAGAAAATTCTCAGGAGCCTTACAAGGTTTTTCTGTGCTAAAGCTTGGCTACAAACACAACCTCACTCTTGAACTCCACCTTGCACCGGGCTTCTTGTCAACCTCTTTACAACTTTTTTTCGTCCATCAGGAAGTATAACCTGACCATGTACATTAACATCAGTACATCATGTGAATTCATTTTCAAACCTTAGAGATATCAAATTAAGAGCTCATACAATGCCTTGTAAACCTCCCCAAATTCCTAAGCCTAACGTGTTCTTATCGGAGAAGTTTTTCGTGGCAGCTTGTATTGCACCTAAATCAAATTATAGTGACTCGGAGTTCAAGTTCACGAAGGGACTGGTACAAGGAGAATTTCATTTTTTATGAGGTGGACATAGTTAAATTTTATATTAGTTAAGGACAATGTAACTTTAAGATAATAAGAGATTTAAAATTAAAAAAAATTGGTTAAATCCACATTTTGGTCCCTGAATTATTGTACGGACCCCCGATTTGGTCCCTGAACTAAAGAAATCCCTGATTTGGTCCTTGAACTATTGTACGGAACCCCGGTTTGGTCCCCACTGTTTATAATTTGGCTTAAGTTGGTCTTTAAACTATTGTACGAACCCCCAATTTGGTCCTTATTGTTTACAATTTCGCCCCAATTTGGTCCCTAAGCTATTATTTAACAAAATGACCAAGTTGGGGTTAAATTGGTAAACAGTAGGGACCAAATTGGATATCCGTACAATAGTTTAGGGATTAACTTGGGAGTCCGTACAATAATTTAAGGACCAAATTAGGGATTTCTTTAGTTCAGGGACCAAATCGGGGGTCTGTACAATAGTTCAGGGACTAAAATAGGGATTTAACCAAAAAAATTTATAATCTCTCCATAATTGTAAAACTTGGGCCCACTACTCTACAAAACCAATTAGCCGAATCGCATAAT